ATGTGCGCATGCCTTATCCCTTTGGTTCGTAACTATACAATTGTATGCTTTATCAACTTGAGTATTGCGTTCTGTCAAGGTCAATAGACCATAAGTTTGATATGTACTAAGATAGATTGTATGCGACGGTTATGGATATGGTATGGAATGTACTAATTATCTTTTTTTACAAACTTGGAATATGATCAAAAGTTTTGATGCTATCTTATCCTTCAAAAAACAATTCATTCTACAATCCATTAATTTTTCTATGATTGATTACGAATGTTGTCGAAGGTCATTTCTTGTAATATGAAACGCTCCGACATACTTTTGAGAACAGATTTACTCATACTTTATATTTATCAGTCTTTTTAATGATATTATTATAAGTCTAATATTACAAGATGCAATACAAATAAATATTTTCTGATTCATTTATTTTCAGATACCAATGTAGAGCGACTAAAACTTATTTAACTCAACAACTTTATTTCAACTTATCCTCTTGATAGCATATAATACATTTTAACTGTATCAAAAGACAGCCATAGCCCTAAAGAGTAAGCCTTCACCCTCATCCTCAGCTAGCTAATTGTCTTCAGCCTAGTTACTTTCGTTTGATGATAAAATCCATAACGAAATTTGTAGAAACACTCCAATAGTTCCCAAAACAATAGAGCCTCGAAGCTGCTGTAAGAAGAAAGAAATTGTTTAACCATGCAAGCAAAGGACAGGTAAAAGGACTAGTTGTGACGACATGTCTCATCTGGTTTTCTTGTTAAAAAGTCCTAATGCATAACTAGTGCGAAATCATTTCTAGTTCAAAACTCACATCTTAACTGTTGACTGGATGGTCGCCACTTTGTTTGTGATGTCTAGTCTTGTTGAGAAAACGACTAACCATGATATTGTAGTTTTATGTACTGATTATGTTTGGACTAGTCTAAAGGATAGAAGTATAAGTATAAGGAGGAAGGCTAGGTTCAATCAAGCTCACAATATATCACTTATCAATCGCCTAATAGACTGAACTATACGATCAAGTCACTGATTTCTACATGTCAATAAACATTGTAATATATTATATAATAGTTTCACTTGAAACATTTTAAATTTGACTATGAATAAAAAAATTTGTATCTTAGAATACAGAATTAGTTTCATAAATTTGAATAGAACTAGTTTAAAATTGTTTTTATTTTCTCAAAAACTTCTTTCATATCGCTGACACCTGGAAAAACTAATGTTTATGGAAAGAGAATTAATTTTTTTCTTATCATAACTCAAGTTTATATCAGTTTTAAATTTCCGCAATTTAAGCTGAAAAATAAATTGAAATTTATGTAATTTACATATCCTTAAATTTAAATCATCATAAATAAAACTATGACATAAAGAAACTAGAGTTACTTTTACACTAAATTATGTATAATAAAAAATATAAATCTATTATTCTCCTCAAAGTAGTGCTCGATAAACCATTTTACATGAAACAAATGAAATTGCAAAGTTGTCCACCGAACATAATGAAAAATATGAAAGCATACATTGTTTGAATATATTGTCAACAGTTGACATTATCCATAATTTTGAATATTTCCTCTCATTGTCATTTAACACTAATAAAAGTCTACATGTGTATTAATAAAACTTGAAGCATCAATACTAATTTTCGTAATTGTGACATAGTAGATCCCGTTTAACTGTCAATTAAGACGAAAAACATGTATTTCAGTATGATTCCGAATATAGGACTCGAAGATATGAGTCTCAAGACTGCATTATTTTACTGCTTCTCTTTTAATATGTCTTCTTGGTATCAGTTGATTCTTACTCAACAAATGATAGCGAAATGATTACTATTCTACTATATAGTCCGTGTTCTAGAAGCATCTAATTATGTATCCATTATCGTAAAAAATTATACGGATGCTTCAAAAGACCTTGCATTACATTTAAATGCTTTTTTGTTCGTCTATGAGCCAATCTCAGCCATTTGCCTTGATAATTAAGTCTAAACAAAATAGTCGCTTTTACAACAGACGATGCATTTCCATTGAAGACATTCCAGACTAGGCAACTCACTTTTCTTGGACTAGTTTCAATTACATAGCTAACCAGCAAGTGCCACGATACTATTTAGACTATTTAAACTAATATCTGTCCGTTGTTGAATCGTAGTTTGTCATCAGAAGAGAGGACACGCCCGGACTCTATGAGTTCTAAACTTATGAACCTCTCAAAAATGCCAGTAACAGATTAATTCTAGGTATTTCAAACGATATTGACATTGCCACGAGAGTTTACAAATATATGGTACCATCTTTTCGTGGATATTCAAATATGGATATGGCTGCTGAACAGGGAACCGAAATTCAAAACCACATTCATCATAGAATTCCGAGAGTGCTGGAAACTCCAAGAGCTCCAGGAGTTTAAAACTCACGGAACTCGACCACTGCTGAAACACATATGATATCTCTTTCTATGAGCTCCATCCTTTATAGTATCAACAAAAATATTCTGTTCGCTAGTCATGTATTTCTAAAAGATAAATACTTTTATAGATTAAATTTCGTTGTAACTGAAATTACTTAATAGTTACATCACACTATGTTATTATCGTCAAGGATGAAATAATTCTTTCTCGAATCTTGCTGTTTATTTTCCATTTAGGCATTATAATACACCACGCTTAACATTTTCGTTCCTATTGCTTACTGTTATAAGATCATTAATTTGTGTAAAATTCTAATACGAACAATTAACTTTCATCTAAAATATTTCGATAACCAATAAGATTGCCTTGAACTTTGTCCTTCGCTTTTTTTCTTGTGTTGACCTAATTCATAAGATCATTTATTTCATGCGTTGAAAGGAAAAAAAAGAAAATCTAATAATATCTGACTATTTATTATCACAATTGATTGTTTTATGTTATCTTATATATGAATATGTTTGCACTCATCAAACCTTGGCATCGACATCATTCGATTATATGCGTCTTTATTTCATCCTAACGAAATAAAAAAAAAAAAAAAGATGAGAGAAATTATCAATAAAGATCAAATTTATATAACGATCAAAATCCAACATACACATTGATCGATGATGTAAACATCATTTTGATCGAACACTACTTAGAATATCAAATGTTATCATAAGAAAGTCAGCTTGTTTATGATATGATTTATTTTGTATTTCATTTCGAATTTTATTAACAATATAAATTAACTCTGTTCTTATTATTTCTTCTTCTTGTTGTTTAATAAAACCATTAAAGCTAATTATGTGATTGAAACATTTTTTTAGCCATTCAATTCCACGGATACCTTATTTGTTAAAGAAATAAGATTTTAACTATATTTATTGCCATTGACTTACATATTTCAATTTGTGTAATATATTTCACAAGAGTATAAATAAAATTACGAAGATACAAAAAAAATGAATTATTTTTATTATTAAATATTAATCGTTTATCACGTAATCTTGTTAAAATTTGATTTAATTGAAAAATTTTTTTTCGATAAAATTTTATTTCTTTTAAATTTTTCAATGAATACAAATTTGTATTCAAGTTATTCATGATTTCATCTAACGTTACTTTTATTTTTTTTAAATGATTTCTTAAATTTATATTAAATAATTTATAATATTGTCGATTATAAGGTGATAAAATACGACGTGTTTGTTCACTAACTGAATATGATTCCATAGTTAAACTAAAACATGAATAACTATGACAGGTTTTTTTATAATAAAGTCGTACAATGATCAGTTTGAAAAAAAAATAATACATGAAAATGAAAGTGGGAAAGTTGATTTTTCCAAAAAAATTGCATCATCTTCTCCTTTCGAACGATATCTAGTCAACTTTAGAATAAAAATCTTCTGATTCGCCTACTGAGTCATCGATCCAACCATCCCAACCCAGCCAGAATGTAAGGATATTAATTGATTGTTTCAATAATTCAAAATATTATCTCTATGCACATGAGATGAGAAAAAGAAACAAACTTGTCTCATTTTATCAATCATTATGATTTTCGTTTTTGATTGTTTCTTTCTCATTCGATTCGTTATTGAATATTTAGTGTTTTTTTTGCCTTTATACTCAAAGAGATAAAAGGTCAAATCGATAAAAATATGCAAACAGCCTATTTTTTTGCCATTAAGTATTAACTATTCAATTGTTGGCAATTACTTCATACAAAGACTACATACCATTTTTTAAAATATTATTTTCGTTTATCAAATAAAATTTTTCTCATCGTCGATTTTGTTTTTTTAATCAAAAATTAGAAAAAAAAAACTTTTTTCTCTTTTTACAAATTTACGCGGTTAGAAATACAGACACTTGAAAAAAAAGAGAAGAAGAGATGTAGTCAAATAATGTACAAACAAATCACCATCGAGTCAAATAAGATAAGAAGATTGTTTTCAATTTCATATGTAAACGGTGCGCGAAAAGCGAAGAAGAGAGAATAGAGACACTTTGGTTTTATCATTTGAGATGAAGAAGACAAGTGAGATTTGCTGCCTATTTATAACATCAATCTTTTATATAGGTCTGTATAAGACAGAAAAAAAAAGATGATTGTTATTTTTGTTTTTTTTTTTTTATGAGAAGAACAAAAATCAAAAGAATAGTTTTATTGATTGTTCTATCTAGTATTTCAATAATCAGTGATTTGACAGTGTTATGCCTTCTCAATTTACTCAAATTTCGTTCGTTTTTTTTAATATGTGCTTCTCTTTCAAGCGAAGCAAAAAACGATGAAGATTATCAAAATAGAATTGTACCACTGTTAGGATTATTATCACTGAATAAAATTGAAATCAGATGCGAGTGTGTGTATGTGCCTATGTGAGTCGGTCATCTTTTTTTCTTTTGCTTTTTTTTGTGCGACGGTAAGGTAGCAGTAGTATTATATATATATATATATACACTCAACGTTGTTAGACTCTATTTTAGGATCGAATAAAAAAGAACGAAACGAGAACTATTTCTTCAAATGAATATTTTAGATAATTCATCAATGAATTTGAAATTACTTATTTTTCTCTTCTGTTCTAATTTTTTACTGCTATATTCAATAACAGGTAAAATTAGTTACGAAACTAAGACGAATAAGATTAGTTTTTATTTTTCTATTAGATGCTTGTGGTATTAATGAATGGCGATGTGAAACAGGCGGTCGTTGTATACCATTATCATGGCGTTGTAATCGAATAAATGATTGTACTGATGGGTCTGATGAACGAAATTGCAGTATGTGTAAAATTATATAAATTTTTTTTTATAAGATTTAAATTCATAAAATAATAGCTTATCCACGATGTTCGGAATCACAATTTGATTGTGGTGATAGATGTATACCTCGTTCATGGGTATGTGATGGTGACAATGATTGTGGAAATAATACTGATGAACAAAATTGTCGTATGTTGTTGTTATTTTTTCTTCTTAAAAGATCATTTTCGTAAAATTGACTTCTTTTTATTGTTTAGCTCCAAGAAGATGTTCAAGTACACAATTTCAATGTAATGATTCACGATGTATAGATGCATCCATGAAATGTGTATGTCTATTTTAGTTTTTTCTTTTAATGTAAATAAAATTTATTTGATACTTTTTGTTTTAGAATCATGTAAAAGATTGTAATGATGGTAGTGATGAAGGAGCATTTTGCAGTAAGTTTTCGATTTTTGTTTCTAGTAAAAAACATATGTACGATTTGTAGATTATCGTCAATGTGATCCTTCAACTGAATATCAATGTGATGTACAACGGTGTTTACCATTAACACAAAAATGTGATGGATATTATAATTGTGATGATCGAACTGATGAACTCAATTGCAGTATGTAGCTTTCTTTTTTATCAAAAGAAAAGATTCGTTAACATAATCTATTCATTTTTCTAGATAGTACAGCATGTTCAATATATCAATTTCGATGTGTATCCGATGGTAGATGCATACCAAATTATCAACGTTGTGATTTTCGTTCACAATGTTTTGATGGATCCGATGAAGCAAATTGCAGTAAGCAGAACAAAAAATATATAGAGAGTGTTTCATGATAATTGATGAGGAAGCTATCTGAATCGATAGTTACTATTTAAGCTCATTTTGAGTTTTCAAGGATGGCACAATAAGACTAGAAAAATACAACATCTTTGTTTCTTTTTCTAATTATTATAATGCATCAAAAACTTTTTCGCTTTGTGTACCCTAAATATTTTCAGTTCTTCATAATATCAACAAATTTGGAATTGCTATCTACTGATTTTATATATTTGTTAAAAAATTGTGCAACGAATTGTATGACAAAAACTCCATGTTGTTTAAAGACGATTTAGCTTCAATACAAACCATTCACGATCTTTTCTGTTTTCGTAACTGGTGAACATTCAAGATTAAATTTGTCATTAAATCTAAAATATTTGAGGCATAAATATATTTCTATATACTTGAAACCATGCTTAGCTGCTCTATTGCGATTGACTACATAGTGAAAGTATTAAAAATTCTAATACGATAATCTATGTATGTTAATCTTGTCTATGCATTTTGGTAATAGTTTATCTAGACAGTTGAAATTTTTGATTATTAAAGATTTTGGTTGCATATATGTGTGATGAAAATTTCAGCCTTTTTCGTCAAACAAACAAGATAAAAAATGTCATGGACAATTTATCATCAGTTATGATGAGATATTCCTTGTGTTTTCTTTTTATCAAGACATTCTATTGTATTTATTCATTTTTATAGCACGACCTAATTGTACTTCAAACCAATTTCGATGTGCTAATGGAAGATGTATTCCATCATCATGGGTTTGTGGTAAGTAAATTTTCTTTTTTAAATAGAAAACAAAAATATCAGTTTACGGTTTTATAAATTAGATCGTGATGATGATTGTCTTGATCGTAGTGATGAAATACATTGTAGTGCACGACAATGTCCACCACATATGTATCCATGTAATGTAACTGGTCAATGTATTGATATAACAAAAGTATGTAACGGTCAACAAGATTGTATTGATGGTACAGATGAAAGTTCACAATGTGGTAAGTCAAATTTATCATTCGAAATTAAGTGTAATTAATATAAAATATTTCTAAATTCTTTTCGATTAATTTCTAAATATTTCAAAAGTTTTCATTCGAATTAATTATACAGTTACAATAGCTTTTGATAATGTATCATCATGTAAATTAATAAGACGAAATATTTCTCTTGGTTTTGTATCAATTTCATTTGTATGAAAATCGACTATTTCAAATGTAACATCTTGTATTTCAAATTGAAAAAGATTAAATGAATACCATAGATAATAAATAGCTAATATAGATAATAATGACCATAGAAGAATAAATATTAAACTAAATAAATTCATATATGTCCAACCAAGAGAAATTTTTGTTTGAATTGTTGTTGCTGATGAGAGAAGATCATCAATATTCATTCTTGTTTTTATGTGGCGCGTGGATCTTAATTGATTGATTTACTTTGAAAATATAATAAAGGTACTCAACTTTGTGGTTTTTTGTCATGTGAACATGCATGTCGTCCAACACCAGATGGTCGTGGTAGATGTTATTGTCCACTTGGATTTCAAATTAATCCAACTGATAATCGTTCTTGTATTGGTAAGAATATTTAAAATTTTTTTTTTTTTGAGAAAAAAGTTCCATTTCGATTCTATTGCATTAAAGATGTTAATGAATGTGAAATTTGGGATGAATGTGATCAAGATTGTCAAAATACAATTGGATCGTATGTTGAATATATATACTTTTTTTTTGTTATGATATAGAAGGGAGGAGTATCAATAACTGATAAAGTTGTCTCCTTTGAGCAGCTTCATTTCTCCTATTACAAATTCTCATACGAGGTGTTCGAAAGTCATTGCTAGTGGCATTAGTTCTCAAACACTTGTTTATACCGGCAATTTAAAGTTCTAATATGGTTTTATAATCTTTAAACTTCATCTACTGTTGAAATAATGTTTTGATGGGATTCATTTTTTGATTGTTCCGTAAGGATAATCAATGAAGAATTTTTCGACCAAAAGAAAGAGTGCATGAAAATACTTGAAACTTACATAGGTCTACTCAGTTTTAGATGTTGGTTTAAAATATCATATTAGCTACACACAGTTTGCTCTTTTTCTGGTCGAAATCTACTAAATACCAGTGAATAAAGGTATAACATCATATCTCTAAAATAGTATTCTTAGAGTTTTTCTCAAGAGCTGATGTTTTTTTCTCGTACTACTTTGTAGTGGTCGAAAAGACTCTATCGAATTAGATGAAAACTAGCCTGACGAGTTATCAGATTGATAGATAAAAATTCTGAATATCATCAATAGTCGAACTCAGTGTACACGTGGTAGTCATTCGCTATTTCATCTGGTCTAGGCACAGCACAAGCTGATGCTATAGAAGTAATTCCATCACAGATCACTTTCGAACATCTTGCATGAGAGTTTGACATTGACGAAACGAAACTGCTCGCGGATATTGATGTCATCATATATTGACTTTGCTCCTTTTATATTTTGATATGTGTAGATATGTTTGTACTTGTCGAGCAAATTATACACTTGAAGCTGGCAATCGTTGTAAACATACAAATAGTAATTATTAATTTAAAAATAAAATTTACAATGATAATAATAATAATTATTATTTATTATGTTTAGGTGATAACATGAAAATGTTTGTAGCTATAGCTAATAAAATCTATGAAATTGATCGACTTCGTAATGCACGAATCATTTATACTGGTCCAGAAAATATGACAGTATATGCTATTGATTATCACTATCGAAATCAATTACTTTATTTTACTGATCCATACGCACATAAAGTAATTATCAAAAAAAAAAAATTTTTGTTTGTAAATTAAGCATTAATTATTGAAAATTTTCTTAGATTTTCTCATTATCATTATCATCTCCGTCATTATCGGCAAGACTAATTCTTGAAAAAAATATTCGTATGCCAGTATCAATTGCTATTGATTGGATTACAAATAAAATATATATTGTTGAATATGAATTAGCACGTATTGACATGTTGTCCTTAGATGAAAAAATGATGAAAACAAATATAATTATTAATAATCTTTATCAACCAGTAGCAATAGCTATTGATCCAATAGCTGAATATTTATTTGTTGCTGATGAAGGTAATTGGAATCGAATACCAGCAAGAATTAATCGATGTCTTCTTGATGGTACTCAATGTACAACATTAATTGATCAAAAATTAGAGCAACCAAGTGATTTAACAGTCGATTTTATTAAGAAAAGAGTTTATTGGGTTGATCGATCTTATGATCATGTTGAAAGTTGTGATTATCATGGATCAAGAAGGTAAGAGCTGTTCGTACAATCCCTGCGAAAGTTAAATTTTGAAACATGATTTAGCTGCTCGTACTGATCAGAGAGAGAGAGAGAGATCGCTTTATTAAATATATTTTGAGAAAAATTTTTCACCATCCCTTTATTTAATCCTTCAAAAAGGAAATAGTTTGTATAGTATTTTACTAGATGCTATTAATATTACGATTTTTGACAGTTTCAATCTAGTGTCGATCACAATTTGTGAAGATTCAAATTTTTAGCCCTATAGTTCAATAATCGTTTCAGATCATGTTTCATAAAAGAAATCATTTGTCTTTTTTTTTATAATGAAAAATTATTGTTATGTTTATTATTATTATATAGAATAACAATAACATCCGGTAGTCTTAATATTCCATTTACAGTTGGAATTGATTTGTTTGAAAATAATCTTTTTCTAACGGATGATGTGAAAGGTGCCGTATTACAACTTCGACGTCATTTTAATTCAAATACAAGTTATTTTTATAAACCTGAATCATTTATTCGACCACAAGGAATAGCTATTTATCATGAAACACGACAACCAAATAGAATAAATCCATGTAATGGAACATATAATGGTGGTTGCGAACATTTATGTTTACTTGGAAGAGGTTATTTATTATCGAACAGTTATCAATGTCGATGTCAATCAGGTTTTCGATTAAAATCAGATTTAAAATCATGTGAACGTAAGATAAAAAAAACAAAAGATTTCTATTGATATAATATTTATATATTTATTTTTCTTAACATTATCTAGCGGTGAAAGATTTTCTTCTTTTAACACGATTAACTTCTATTCGTGGAATTGATTTTAATCGTGATTCAACTATTGAAGCTCGACCACCAATTGTACCTGATCGTCGAACTTCTATATCAGATTCTGTATTTGATTATGAAGACAAAACTGTTTATTTTTATGCTCAAAGAAGTCAAATGATTTATTCATCGAAAATGGATGGTGAAAGTAAGTTAATATTGATATTACACTTATTTTTATCTTTATTTTTTTATCATTAAAATTATAGAACCGACACCAGTTACAACATCTAAAATATTTCCAATAGTTAGTGCTTTAGCATATGATTGGTATTCAAAATTACTTTATATGACATCAATAAGTGAAAGTCAACTTCTAGTTGTTAGAATTAATGGTAGAGATTTTCCACAACGTACTCTTGTTAATGGAACCACTGGTATACATGGTGTTGCTTTAGATCCTTTACAAGGGTATGTGAGGTTGAATTTCATATTCAAAACATATAAAGTGAACAAAGAATATTCATATTATATATGATGTCCCAAAAGTTTGAAGTGAAAAAAAAATACCTGAATATCTCTTTTAGTCAATTTTAGTGATTTATATTATTTTTTTAATACTATGATAGCATGTTCTTTGAAGTCTTATTCTATTTTCTTATAAATTTCTGTTTCCATAGACGTTAGAATTTAAAATAGTTTTATTAATGATCAAATTTGTGTCGTTTTATCATTTGGAAACGGATTTTGTTCGAGATAATTTTCAACTATTTTGTGAAAATGAGCTATTAACAAATATTTGAGCTGCTGCAGTAGTCTATTTCATTTCGCGAACAATAGCACACCAAATACTGGCTGAATAATCTGCCGATAAGCCATACAAAATATAATTTCTTCATAAACTTCATAAAGAAGATTCAAGAGATCGAATTGAAGCTGTCAAACTTTGATATTAATGTTAGAGAACAGTTATAATCCGTATAGTTTGTTTTTTTTTTGTACCAAAGAAAATGCTTTTCATTAAATTGGTTTATTGATAAGTAAAATTGAAACAAATTTGAACAAAACAAATATTAAGAGCAATTCGAAAGAGAATGAATTTGAATATTTATTATGAAATACTTTATATGAAATAAAATTTCAAAGAGCATACTATAACATTGCAAACTAAATGTCTTACTCAATGGTTCCAATGCTTATATCCGTGGATTTCCGACAGGTTCCTACTGAAAAACTTGGGAAAATGGTAGCGACTTAGGAGCAGAACACAACGACCAGATATTTTTAGTCCTAGTCAAAGTCAACCACCAGGTTGTTGAGTCGAAGTTTCAACTATTTTTTCTGTTGCAAACGGCTCGTATTTCTTGAGCTGGGATACATAAATCGTTTGAACTATTAAAAAACATATTCACTTTGACTTTTTCACAAGAGACTTTCTCGACACCCTGTAAAAATGAAACCTTTACATATATGTTTCTGTTGAAAACGGTGATTTCTTTGCTATACACAACGATTCAGAGTACCAATTGTGCTTTGATTGAGAATAATCTCTCGATCTTCTATCTAATTTTTAGTTTCATATTTCAATTTGTAAGAGTAATCTATATTCTAATCGTTTTCTACTGAAAAGACAAGAAAGTATTGAAACAATTAATTAGGAAAGTCTTCTAGTAACACTTGTGGTTTTACAGATTATTAAATTCGAAAGTGATTTATCTGATAGATGATTTAATTTAGATATGTATTTTATTCAACAATTCTACGTCCAGCAAAAATCTATCGTATGCTATCTGATGGAACAAATCGTAATATAATTGTTCCAAATGAATTGGGTACACCCTATCATTTAACATGTGATTATTCAACAAAACGTCTGTATTGGACTGATGGTGCATTATCACGTATTCAATATTCAGATTATAATGGTCGAAATATTCAATCATTAAGAGGACGATTAATATCACATCCATTTGGAATTGCAATTTATGGATGTAAGAAAAACAAAAGAAAATAATTAGATGATAAAAAAAAAGAACTTTTATTTTATGCCTTATAGCTCGTCTTTATTTTACTGATGCAACATTAGAAAGTGTATTTGAAAGTAGTAAAACATACAGGTATACTAGAAATATTTCATGTAATCTTAATTACTATTTTTCTAATGTATAGTGGTTATGCATCACCTATTCGATCAAATATTCCATCGATTACAACAGTTAAAGTTTATGCAGAATCATCTCAACCAATGAATAGTATGATAATACCAATGCAAGAACGGCATTGAATTTTCCGTTTTTTTTTCTTTATTATATAGTAACACATCCATGTCGAAGAAATAATGGTGAATGTTCAGATTTTTGTTTTCCAAGACAAGAACAAGGTATTTTAACAAGAGTATGTGGCTGTCGTTATGGTCGAAAACTAAATTCAATGAATAATCAAGAATGTATTGATAATTCTCAAGCTGAACCAAGTCAAACATCATGTGACGGACGTTTTCAATGTCGAAATGGTCGATGTATTCCATTAAGTTATAAATGTGATGGAGGTAAGTCATTCGAATTTATAATAGAAAGAAATAAAAAAAGAATTTTTTTCCATGTTAATAGATGATGATTGTCATGATAACAGTGATGAACAAAATTGTCCAGGTAAAGAAAAACATATATATATATAGTTCTCGACAAAATTAGCTGCCCTCTATGAAGTATTTACTTTTCTCTACTATATTGAGCTTATATTTTTCGATGCATTACTGTGACAATAAACTATTCCCACAAGCAGCAATTTATCCTTCATCGATTCGCATGTACTGAAGTTATGATTCAGACATCTTCTTTGCCCTTGAACACAACATATACAGCAGAAATATACACTAACAAAGTTTTTGTTTGTCATTTTGATATTCTAATAGTTACTATTGTTTTTATAAAGTTAAAGACAGTCACACATGTCTATTTTATTATCACTAAAACTCGTGACTAGAGTTGTAGGAGATCGAGATCACAAGAAACAGACGCTACTGAGACAGTAGCGGCGAAATATCTCTACCGAAAAAAATTCAGAATTGTGTACACTTATGTATTTTTTGCATCGTTAGTTGTTACCAAAATAAATAGTAAATGGCTATATAGAATTCTGTTTAACTATTTTGCGACAGAGGTCTTGATTGTTTAAACACACAGAAAAAGATCTGATTCTTTTAGTATTCGAGAATCTGATTAGAAATAAAATACAGTAGCACAGTATTTTAAGAGGATTCTGTTTGTAACAGAGTATATGAAATATGAATATTGAGCATGTCGCTATCAACATCGAGTTTTGTAGAATTTACGGTGAGTTTTCAAATTCTAATAAGAATTTGATGATTCATAATAGAATTTTTGTTTCGAAAGTAATTGTTTGCTTAATTTTATATAATGTTGTTATTATCAATCGGTTATTAGAATTTTGAATTCTGTTAAGTGTTTTAAAAGTCAAATCGAATTAACAAGCACAAGAATGTATCTGATAAACAACTGCAATGAATTTTTGTGTGCTTATCGTTTCAAAGTAAAGGATTATCTTGATTACGTCAATACAACGGAGAGAAAATAAATTATGTGTGAAATGGTGGGGACATTAGTGTGAAGGATGCTGCTATTTGTTTTTTTTAAGATTGTCACGTCTCTTTTAAATCTTAAGTTTATTTACGTCAATGTTTAGCGTGCCGCAGAACTGCGAATTTCTATTAACATTATGTTTGATGAAAGTTTAGTAAAAACTGTTGAAGCTTGGCAATCTTTAATAGAATTCTACTGTATTTGTTAATTCTCCAGAGAATTATGTTACGATCATGGAGAAAGTGTATTTGGAAGACTTTGTCTTTTAATAATAATTGTATAATTTTACTGTAATTCAGCAGTATCCTTGAATTCTTAGCAGATTTTTTTTATTACAGAGAGAATGCCTTCATTAACCCTCATTTTCTACAAATAAGCACGGAATGCTGTCAACATCCTGCTGGTATTTTAGCTCCTGATATAATTTTATTTTCAAAAGAGAGAACTTATGTCTGACAGAGTTTGTATCCTTTTTCTAGTCATAGATTTCTGTTTAAAATATTTTAAGTTTTTTAAAAATCTTCACTAGAATTTTTTTCATCAGGACGAAGTTTCGGAAGGCTTTGTCTTCTTAGAGATACGGAGTCCTGTTCAATAGCTCAAAATTCTTTCGAATTCATAGCAGACTTTTGTTTTCCGAAAAGCGTTGCATATGATAAAGCTCATTTTCAGGTACTGAGATTTGAATTTTGACGAAACGCTGCTGCATTTATGAAACTTACTGGTAAAGTTCTGTCACTACAAAATCGTTTGTGTTTAGTGGCGAGCTTAGATAAAAATCATGATGTCGTAGCATTCATTATACTTGATCTACTATCTAATATGAACAAATCTAAAAAGTTCAGAAATATGCTTGCTATCCATTCTGCTGGCTCTTACTTTCGAGCGAGTAACTAGATGAAAATATTTCTGCCAACATGATTTAGATAAGTTGATCATAAAAGGAAAACCTTCGTGAATCATAACTTCAGCACACGTGAACCGATGCAAGTTAATGTGTGTGATCTGGATTTCTTGTCGCATGCATACACCGAAAATATGAAGTCAATATCATGAAGAGTTTAGTAGCACTTCATGAGAGGCGGCTACTTTTATCCAGGACTGCATTTTGACATACACATATATATTCATATAGCTGGAACACCAACATGTGGAACAAATCAATTTCAATGTAGAACTAGTCGTGTTTGTATAAATAAACAACTTGTTTGTGACGGTTATCCACATTGTCAAGATCGTTCAGATGAATCTAATTGCAGTATGATGAAAGACGATTTGTTTTTTAATTTTTCAATCGAAAAATTTTATTTTATTTTTTTGTTTTAGGTCAAACTTGCACACAAAATCAATTTCGTTGTGCAACAGGAAAATGTATTCCTAAATCATGGATATGTGATAATGGTAAAAAGAAAAAGAATTTCTTTGTGTTTGTTAATTCTTTTTGTATAGAAAATGATTGTGGTGATTCGAGTGATGAACAAAATTGTCAAGGTGAATATAAATTTGAATTTTTTTGTAATAAAAAAAAAATCCTTTTTCTTTCTTTAGAAAGAACATGTGATCCGTTGACACAATTTGCTTGTCCTCATACACCTGGTAAATGTATTCCGAATGGTATGTTAAAGAACGAAAGTTTTGTTATTTTGAACTAATGCTATGTATTTTTATTAGGATGGAAATGTGATGGTCAAAATGGTAAGATTTAATTTTTATTATGTAAATATACGTCTTATTTATTTGAATTTATTAGATTGTGGTGATAATGCTGATGGTTATTTAATAACAAAATTTATTTTTTTCTTGTAGGAATATTTTTTTTTTGTTTTTAAGAACTCGATTGTCCACCAATAACTTGTGGTGCTGGACAATTTCTATGTTCACGTGATCGTATGTGTATTAATGCAACACGAAGATGTGATGGTATTGCAGGTATGTACATATTCATAGAATAGTTTAAATCTGTAATTGATGTATATAGATTGTCAATCATTGGAAGATGAACGAAATTGTGCCGGATCGGTACCATCATATTGTCGAGCAGACCAATTTCGTTGTGGATCAACTTGTATACCAAATGTAAGTTGTTATTGAAGACATGAATTTTTGTTTTGTTTTTGAAAAATTTTTTTATTTTAATTAGGCTTGGCGTTGTGATGGTCATCGAGGTAAAATAAATATTTCGAAAGGGAGAAAAAAAGAATTTTGTTTTTTGGAACTAAATTTAGATTGTGCCGATGGATCGGATGAACCACCAAGTTGTGGTTAGTGTTTTACTTTTAAGTTGATACGAAAAATGATTAAATTATATTAATTATAGGTGCAAGAAATTGTACATCAAATGAATTTCGTTGTGTATCAACGGGTGACTGTATTCCCAAAGGGTGGATGTGTGATCATGAAGTAAAGAAAATTTTTTTTTGAAACTTTGAAAAATATTTAAATTTTGTTAAGGATGATTGTGACGATGGTTCGGATGAAGGCGCAGAACTATGTCGTAAGGATTATTGAGACCTTTCTTTTCTGTCAATGAAAATTTCAATTTTTAATCAATGAATAGAAACTGCACCTTTTTCATGCCCGGAAAATCAAATGATTTGTCCTGGTACGACAATTCATCAATGTGTAAATGTTACACAGGTCTGCGATGGGTAAATATTTTTTGTTCATTTATTGAGCATATCGTACGAGAGTGTACTAGAATTTACATTGACTCTATTGCAATGAAATGAAATTTTCAGATGTTGTATGACTTGCGTCTATAAGCATAGCAGTAGGTTCAAAAAACTCAGAAAAATCCTGCAAAGGGGAGAGGCAAGTTGGCTTACGCAGTCAAAAATGAATCTTGTCTAGTTCTTACATTTTTCGAGTGGTAGAAGTCTGAAAACTTTGTTATAAATACTGGTCGTTATCGTTGGTACGATCCTTTTTTTCTAGTGTGTTCTGTTGTTTTGGACTCAAGTATCTCTATGAAGTTCAAACAGCATTTCAATTTTTATTAATGCTGTAGGATCTTATAATTGTCCTCTTTCTAACGCTGAAACTTCCAGATCTGAAATTTGTTTCTGAATCGTACGAAAAGACCATCTTTAGAATTTACTATGGAATTTTTGACAATGTTGTAGTCTTCCTCCCTCAGAAAAAACTACGCCATTTCCATAACTTGTCCTATAGTGGAGCTTTATTGGCACACATAACTCTATCATTTCTGAAATTTTTGTCTTCGTTTGGTGCGATTTGACTGAGGAGAGCGATCTTGAGGATTTCGTATGTTATTGATAACAACTATAACAGTTATTTTCTTCAAAAAATTTCAAGGTTAGTTTGCTTAGCGAAAAACGAAAATTTCAGGAATGATAGAGTAAGGTATGCTATTGAAGTCCCACCATACAAAACATGTTAGGAATCTCGTAGTTTTTTATGAGGAGGATGTAAATTTGCAAAAAAAACTCGAAAATAGATCCTAAAAATGGTGTTGCTATTTGGCCCAGGAACAAGCTACAGATCTGGAAGTTTCAGTGTTCGATAGAGAACTGTTCGATGATTCTAGAACATTAATATAAGCGGAAATTCTTTTGAGACTTGACATATATAGATTAGTCTAAGAAAACGTCTACTACATAAAATGATTGTCTCTTTTCTAGATTTTCAAATGTTTTTGAATTCATAGTTCTGTTTATAGACATGAGTCCTACAAATCTGAAAGTTTAATTCCATTACGATAAAGTCAATGTAAAGTCTTGCACACTCTCGCAAGAAGCATCCTATTTTTATGAAATTTTTTTCAAAGTAAACCTGATTGTCCTGGCGGTGGTGATGAATCACCATTATGTAATAATGATCAATGTTCAATTGATAATGGTGGTTGTAGTCATACATGTCATCGATCACCATTTGGTGCTTTATGTCTTTGTCAACCCGGGTTTCATGTACAAAATACAACAAATAATAAAAAATGTGAAGGTAACAACATTTATTTTTTAAATAAAAAAAGAATAATTTAATATTAATGTTTGATGATTGATTAGATATCAATGAATGTATAGAAAACCCAAATGCATGTCATCAATATTGTTTAAATACAAATGGAAGTTTTATGTGTTCATGTGCTGAAGGTTTTGTATTGCAATCAGATGGACATAGTTGTAAGATTATCAGTAAGTCTTCAATGAATAAATATTTTATAAGATTTTTCAGTTCTAATAGAGAAAGAAGAAAAATAAAAGATGTGTTGATTATCAAATTTTGTTCGAGTTCTCTTAGTTTGGGATCTGTAAAACGGTTCCGGTAAATCGTTTTGCTCTGAGGTTTTACCTACGGGCAAGTTTATTTGTCAATAGAATGCTGTGAAAATTTCAGCTTGTGAAAAAAGACTTATCCATTGCGGGGTCGTATATTTCACTAGAGCCTACTTTGTAAAAAGAGTCTGAATTTAAAAGCTATTAATTCCTTGAAAACGTTTCTTCGTAATATTGGCACCGAAAAAAGCGATCTTTCAGACTAAATTTTATTAATTTTCATACGTAGTTTTACCAAAGCGAAAAACATATGAACTTACACTTCAGATTTGTAGTTTTGCAAAACTTGATCAATATTGAACAAGCCGTAAATAAATTTTTTTAGCTTTTTTCTAAGAATTTTGATTCAATAAGTCTTGAATAGTCGTAAAACTATTTATTTAAAAACTAATACTTTTCTCGAGTATGTCGATATTTTTTAAACAATATATATATATATAATTCTTATACAGATAGTGAAAATTTCTGATATCTTTAGACGAAACTGGTATTCGTTTATTAACTACACGTCAATCAATAATGGAATGGTTTTCACCAACACTACGAACTTATGGTCAAATTAATCTTGGTCCCAATATGCGTTATATAATTGCATTTGATATTGATAATCGAACAAATACATATTTCTGGTCTGATTTAGTAACAAACATAATCTATAGTCGAACAGAGCGAGCAAATAACTATACTAAAGTACATAAATTCATTGAAAAACCTATCATTTATATAATATTTTATTGATTTAGCTTATTACAAGTGGTAATAGTTTTATAGCTGATATGGCATTTGATTGGATTGGACGTAATTTATATTGGACAGATTATATGCTTGAACATGTTGAAGTGTCAACAATGGATGGTCGTTATCGTCGAATATTATTTCATGAAAATTTAACAAATCCATGGTCAATTGCTGTTGATCCACGTGCTGGCTTACGATATTTATTTTTAACTGATTGGGGTAAAAATCCACGCATAGAACGTGCTAGTATGGATGGTCAACAACGTCTAAGTATTGTTAATGATTCAATTGAAATGCCAGTTGGTTTAACACTTGATTTAATACGTCAAGAAATTTATTTTACAGATCACCATTTAAATTTTATTGAAGTTGTTAATTATAATGGTGAAAATCGACGAAAAATTTTAGCTAATTCACATTTTTTACATGGACCAATATCAATAAATGTTTATGAACAATATCTTTATTGGTATGATTCATTTTCAAATGAAGTAAGACGTTTAAATCGTTTTGAACATGGTATAAAAGCACAAAAACATGAAAGAATTTTATCAAGATCAGGAATAATTTCAATGAAAATGTCACATCAAATTTATCAACCATATGGTAAATTATATACAAAAAAAAAATTATTTTTCAAAGAAAAAAAAGAAATATTTTATTTTATTTTTTGCTTTAATTAAGAAACAAATCCATGTCAACAATCTCGTTGTACCCAATTATGTCTTCTCTCTCATACTGCACCATTAGGTTATACATGTGCATGTTCAACTGGGTATATTCTTGAACAAGATCAAATTACATGTGCAAAAGGTTTTTTGTTATTAAAAAAATACTTTTTTCTGTAGTTAAAAGATTTTATCCCTTTTAAGATCATTCACCATTTATTATTTATATGAGACGTGATACAATTGGTGGTATTAGCGTAAGACATAATCAACAATATATTGATGAAAATTCAAATTATGATGATTTATGGGAACGATTTGTTACAGTAACTGATCTTCATAATGGTTATGAATTTGCATTTGATGAAGTTAATGAAACAATTTATTGGGCACAAGTTAATGGTTTCTTACCAGATGGAACTCTTAAAGTAAGAAATTCTTTTAGTTCATTTTCAAATAAAGAACATTATAGTGTTAGAGAAAAACAAAACTTAATAGTAAATGATGTTAGTGTAATTCATATAGGATTAAAATCTGAAAAATGATTAACTAATCTTGATGATCAGAGAGAGACCTTTTTATTTCATACATTATGAAACACATTGCTTTATCCTTGTTTTTCTTAATTCTACAGCAACGCAGTAAGGAATCAGTTAATATGTTGTATCGAACCCTTACTAGTGTACAGTCTGTGCTCGTATATCAATAACGTATGTCATAGTCTGTAATGAGTAGCCAAGATGCTTGGAAGGGATCCGAATTGTTACCATATATATTTCAACACTCATGACAGATCGTGTTTCATAAAATATGAAGAGTAAGAATTTCAATATCACCTTATTTAAGTTGTATTCAGTGTAAATGTAGAGTATATGGAAGTTTTTGTGCATTATTGACAGTACATCATGTATTGTTAAGGAAAAGAGAATCAATAAATAATGCATAGATCATGTAAAATTCGTTTTATGTTTTTCGAAGAAAAATATAACAGTATACGTTTTTAATCGAAGATTTGCGGTTCTTCCTCATAACAATGGAGACAAAGCTAACGTTCATTCGGTACGTTTTCATAGTAAACGAGGACAACGAGCGTCTTAATCCTTTCTCAGAGTTTCTTCGCAACTAGAAGACATGCTGAGTAACATTACAGACTAGATTTAGAACATTCTAGAATATTTCAAAGCCTTCATTGAAATTTGAATTGTTACAAAATGTTTATGAATGTTCTAAATAGAGCAATTTCTGATTTTGGCGTAGATAAAAAGTAATATTCAAGATGTCTAGAATGATGCATAGTGATGTTTTGGTTTACCACAGTCGTCATCTGATGAACATAAAAAGAAAAGCATTAACTGATAAAATTATTACTTCAGGAAATAATCACTATCAGTGTTTCCGAGCTTATCAAAATATATAATTCCACATTGAGAATACCACACAACAAAAGACAGCGCACTGATAAAATTCAAAATGCGGCAGATCGTTTCTCTGGCGATCAATTATCCATAGAAAATAACTAGACGTTTTTCACTTAATATACTTTGTATTAGTATAATGAGGCTAAAAAACACATGTGAATTTCTCAATTCAGTCCCGATAGGACTGTGCTGACATGTGTTTTTTTTTAATATCATCTAGATTTCCTATTGAAATTTAACCGATAAAAAAGTCAAACAATATTCCTAAAATTTAATTCATAGCAAATTTTCTTGCAATATTAATTAACTAATGACTTGACATTTTTATAGTATGAAATTCGCCGAATTAATTTCGATGGTACTAATGAAACTGTTTTCTACGGTGATGATGAAATATTAGTTGGTATGGAAGCTGGTACAATGCAAATTGATGCTGTTGGACGGTAAAATTTTATTTCATCATTATCTTTTTTTCAAATTAATTATTTTCTTCAATTTCTCATTAATTCTTAGCAATCTATTTATTGCTAATATTCGTCATAGTCGAATAGATGCAATATCTTTAAATGGTCTATATCATACAATAGTATTTAGTGATCATGAAAATGCTACAGGTGTAATGCACCCTACAGCACTTGATCTTGATACAACAAATGGGTATTGTTTAGTTTAAAATTTTATTGTGTTTTGTTTTCAATTTTTAAAAATAATTTAATAGTTATGTTTATTGGATTGATTTTGGTGGTGGACAAGTTCCTATGAAAATAGGTCGAGTTCGTTTTGATGGAAAATATCCTGAAAATGTTATTGTTGAGAATCTTTTACGACCAAATTATATTGTTTACAATCTTGATCTTCATTGTATATTTTGGAGTGATGTTGGTATACAAAAAGTAAAAACTATAAAAAAAAAAAGAAAAGAAATATTCTTCATGTTTTTATTTTAATTTGTTATAGATTTCATATCATTGTATGGATTCAGGTGATACAAAAGTACTTGATGTTGAAGTAAATAATCCACAAGGTTTTGATTTTCTTACTCATTACTATCCTCCAACATCACCATTAATAACAATTAGTGATAATGATGATATAACATCAACACATTATTCATTATTTTTTGTTGATAAAGAATATGAAGGTGTCTATAAAAAATGGTTTGATCATCGTTTAAATCCTGTATCAGATGTTATACCCGTACGAACAAATCAAGAAGATCCAAGACAAGTTCGAGCTTATCCACGTTATGAAGGTTAATATTATTTTCTTGTTTATTAATAGGATAACATTTTTTTTTATTATTATTTAGCTTTCAATGCATATTGTTATTATGGTTCATATTGTGAACAAATCTGTTTTCAAATTGATTCTAATAATCGTGATACACCAACATGTGATTGTGCTATCGGATATAAATTAAATAGTGACGGCCGAACATGTTCACCTAAAAGTCAACAATATATTGTTTATAGTACACGTTCATTATTACGAGCATTTGATTATCGATCAAATGATTCAGCAAGAGAAGATGTTATGCCATTGATTCCTGGTAAGATTTATTTTAGTATTGTCAAATAAGCTTTCAGTTTTCAAAGATAAATTGAATGAATTTATATGTATTGATGTACATATTGTAATTTGTCTGAGGAAAGTCTTCAAGTTTGATAAGCAATTTATAAGCAAAGAAATATTTGTTTTGTCTTCATATTAGTATAAGTTAAGAAGAAAGATCTTTTTAAAGTTCTGATTAAATAGATAGAATTTTTGTAGAGATTGCTGAACTGATTATAATAGTTTAAAATTTATTAGTCATTTAACTGAGAAAAAAAATCATTGTAACTTGTAGTTTTTTGAAAGATTAGTTTTTCTCCACTCATCATTGCTAACATGAATTGCTTCGCATTCAAATGTATAGGATTCTACGATCCCAATCTTACGAAAAAAGTCTCCAACTGATAAATCACTTTTGAGTCGAGCTTAAGTGCATTATGTAGAATCGAAAGAACTCTGGCTATGCTGAAAAAAATTCACTTTCTTAGCTTATTGTTGCATAGACACTACACTTTTACGCTAGTTTTTAAATGAATGGTGTGATCTAAAAAACTGATTTTTTAATTTCGACTTGAAACTTTATATATAGAAAAATCTTAACGAGAATAATTTATAATAAAAATTTTAAATCTTTCCGTTGTTCCGATTCTAAGATACAGCAATGGTGAAAGCATGTCTTTTGCATGATTCTCATACAACGGTAGATTCGATATTCTTATTTTAGGATAGACGTAAAGCAAAAGATTTGAAACTTTATCTTTCTATCACTACGGCTCATCTCTGTACAAAGTTTTAGGTCGAAATTCGAAAGTCAGTTTTTTTTTAGGGGAACCACGATATTCATATAAAAACACGGTAAAATGTAGTATCTACCTAGTAATAAGCTAAAAGTCAGAACTAGAAATGCGTGGAACCAGAGCATATGTTATAAATAATATGAATCAGAACATCATTGAAGAGAGATCGCCCAAAAATGTTCTGGTCGTATACTAAATAAATTATAAAAACGAGTATGGAAGAATTATTTTTATTGTTTTACGAATAAATTCTATAATGTTTTCCTCTAGCCCGGAACCCCTGACCAAAAACAACTTGGTTCCGAATGAACATCTCTAGCCAGAACTATTTTAAAAATATTCAAAACTCAGATGAGTCTACATAATGTACGTAGTTTCGATTCAAAAGCAACCAATCAGCTAGAAGATTCCTTTTGTAAGACAAAATCATTAAGTGTGACTGTAATTTACGTGTTTTAAAGACATTGCAATCCCTCCTCATCATAGAAGACTCCAGATGTTCTTTTACGTCCAGTGCATCGTTCCTCCAGCCGAAGTCTTTTAGAGTGGGAAATAACATAATGTTCAAGACATTTTCCGTAAATCTTTTTATAATTTGATGCAATTTAAATAAATATTTTGATTCTTCTCAGGTAATGATATGGAAATGCTAGCAGTTCGATATTCCAATCGTGAATTATATTGGATAAATGCAAATCGTTTAATTCGTCGTGCAGTATGGACAGATAATCGAACATGGAATGTAACAAATTATCTACAAATAAGTGTTGGATCACAAAGAAATTATATTCTTGGTCTTACACTTGATTGGATAGCGGGAAATTTATATTTTTCTTATATAACAAATTCATATGGTCATTTAGAAGTTAATCGTCTTGGTACAGATCATCGATTAATTTTACGAAAAGGAGCAAATGAAACAATTTATTCTCTCGCTGTTAATCCAAAACGAAGGTTAAATTAGAAAAAAAAAAACAAAACCAAATAAATGATATTATAATTTTTTCTCTAGATTTCTTTATTGGTGTGATCGTGGTCAACGTGTTCGTATAGGTCGTTCATTACTCAATGGTGAAAATATAACATATCTTGTAACAACACAAATTATTCGACCAGAATCGATAACAATTGATTTTCTTACTGATGATGTTTATTGGTCAGATTCCATACGTGATACAGTTGAAGTTATATCATGGGATGGAAGAAATCGTCGAACAGTTTCACGTAATATTCCAAAAGCAATTAGTCTACTTATTGCAAATAATGATTTATATATCATGGATCGAGCATTTTCATCGGTAAAATCTTTAAATAATCGTTTTCTTTTTTACTTTTTGTTTTTGCTTGTTTTAAAGATAATGCGTATTAATAAAACAGTTAGTAATTTGACACAACGTTTAGAATCAATATTAACATTAAAAACGTTTGAAGTTGGTGGTATGGTATTATTTGATGAACAACCAAATTTTGAATCACCATGTCAAACATCAACAGTTCGACAACGTTTTTGTGAAGATCTTTGTTTTGCTATGCCTGATACAAGTGTACCACAATGTGCATGTGCATATGGAACATTAAATATAGATCGACGAACTTGTTCACGTAAGAACTTTTTTGTTTCTTTGATAAAATCAAAATTTAACATCTTTTTTTTTGTTTTTGTTTTTCTTCATAGCACCAAATGAATATTTACTTGTTGCAATGGAAAAAGAAATTCGTTCAATGTCAATGGAACCACATGGTTCATCATCAAGTGCACCATGGCGTGCAATTACAAATTTAAGTATGGTTGTTGGAATTGATTTTGATTATCGAGATAAGAAAATATTTTATACGTAAATGAATTTTGTTTTGTTTTGTTTTTTCTGTATGATTAATATGGATTTATTTTTAAAAGGGATCTTCGTTTACAAGATATATTTTCATTTGATATGGATGATCCAAATCCACATGCACGACAATTAATACAATCAAATGTTACTGGTAAAAGGAAAAATATTAATAAATTTGTTTGTTTTTTTTGAAAAAAAAATTAAGGTCGTTCACAACCTGTTGGTATATCATATGATTGGGTATCCGATCGTTTATATTGGACAGATGAACGATACGGAAGAATAATTTCGGCTAGAAATAATGGTTCAGAAAGATTAGTTATAGCTGGTAGTTCAAAACCAAGAGCTATTGTTGTTCATCCATGCAAAGGGTTCGTTTGTACTTTTATGTTTTCGAGACAAAATATATATATATGTAGTTTTTGTAAAATATAGGTTATTATTTTGGTCAGATGTTGGTGTATATCCATCTATTCGCCGTTCAACATTAACTGGAAGACAAGTAACTTATATTATTACGACTAATATAAGATGGCCAAATGGATTAACAATTGATTTTGATGATGATCGTATTTATTGGGCAGATGCTTGGTTGTAAGTAGTTTTCAATTTTAGAATCTTGATCGAAAAACTTTGAGAGAAATATTGATTTGTTTCTTAATTATTTAAATTTTTCGTTAATGTAATACGGGTTCAACACGAAAAATTAGTCCATTACTTCTGACAAGTGAAGTTCTACTACTGCTAAATCATTTTTGAGTCGAGACTATGTGTATTTTGTAGGCCCTAAATGAGTTATGAGTAATCTGAAAAGAAGTCATGCTTTTAGATTATCTTTTTGGAGATATTGAAGATATAGCTATAGTAATAGCGTTTCTTTTATATCGCTCATGTAAACCGGCAGGTTTTATACTTCTATTTCAGAGTAGGAGCAACTCAAAAGACGTGAAGCTTTCATAATGAACTACTCTCGTTAAAAATCTATCTCTTTATAAAGTTTCAAGTTGAAATGCAAAAATCAGTTTTTGTGGATCATCGTATTTATTTCCAAACTACCATAAAAATACAATATCTCAGCAACAATAAGCTAAGGAGATGAACTTTTTTCAAGGTGCTCATAGCTCATTGGGATCTACACAATCTACATAGCCTAGACTCAAAAGCGATTTATGTACTCGAATGTTTTATAATAAATTATACAATATCTAAATTTTATATTAGGATTATATTGAAATAGAATCAAAAAATATTTTCTGTATGTTAAATTTAGTGATCGTATTGAACGTGCATCATTAGATGGTACAAATCGAGAAGTTATTTCAACAGTTGTTCATCCATTTGCAATAACTCTTCATGGACATTATATTTATTGGACGGATTGGTCTCTTCGTAAGTTGTTAAATGCAAATCATTTTCTAAAAACTAAAATTTTTTTTCGCTTCTTACAGGTGGTATTTATCGTGCCGAAAAATATACTGGTGCTAATATGGTTGAAATGCAAAATGATCTTCCATATCGTCCAATGGATATTCATGTTGTATCTGATCAACGTCAAAAATGTGCATATTCGCCATGTAATATAAGTAATGGTGGTTGTAGTCATATATGTAAAACAGCAGCTGATAATCAAGTTGAATGTGCTTGTCCAAGTGGACAACAATTAAAATTAGCTAATGATCGACGAATGTGTGTTCGTAAGTAAAATTTGAAATCAGAAAAAAAAAATAAAGAATAAAAATGTTTGTTGATTTATTTTTAGCATTATCATCATCATGTGCTTCAATTAATTTTACTTGTCGAAATGGTCAATGTCTTTCAAGACGAAAAGTTTGTGATGGTCAATCAGATTGTTCTGATGGTTCAGATGAAGATTCAAGATTTTGCTGTAAGAAAATAATTCTTTGAAAATAAATTTAATTCATTAGTATTTTATAGCACGATATGCTTGTCGACCAACTGAATATCGATGTTTAAGTGGTGGATGTATTCCATATATTGAACGATGTGATCGAAAAATTGGTAAATAAAAAATAATAATAAAGCACAATCTCTACGGAATTAAAATGCGACGCACGATGCAACTACTATTGCTAGTCACAAGGAGATAGGTTTATTCTGCTTAATTGGGAATGTATTTCTTTCCTTAATCCTCCAGATATATAATAAGGAAATGGCTCATATATTATTAGGAGATATCTTTGATATCAATAACGTCTGCCATGATCTCTGATTAGAATTTGTCAGTCTGCGAAACTCCAAATTCCTATTCCTATAACTCAACACGTCTTCTAGATCATATTTCATAGGAAAGAAGATAAAGTTCTTTTTGAAAATTTTTTATTTAATATAGATTGTAATGATGGCAGTGATGAAAATAATGCATTTCAACCATGTGTATATCCTCAATGTCCCGAAGGACAATTTACATGTAATAATTTTCGTTGTATTGATAATTTTAAACGTTGTAATGGTATGTATATGAATAAAAATTTACTAAACAAAAAGTTTGATGTTTAAAAACTAAATAGGTTATGATGATTGTAATGATGGTAATGCAACTGATGAAATTGGTTGTCCATCTCGTATTTGTAATGGAACAAATAGTATGAAATGTCCAAATAATAATATTTGTATTCAAAGAACTTATTTATGTGGTATGTAGAATGCAAAGAAGATTAATTTTATTTTAAGGAAGTATGTTTTATTTCTGAATAGATGGTGATAATGATTGTGGTGATAATAGTGATGAAAGTCCGATTTTCTGTCATAGCATTGAATGCAATACAAGTAAATACATATATGAAAGTTTTATTTTTTATAAATTTATTTATTTAAAATCTAGCGGAATTTCGATGTGGAAATGGTCGTTGTATACCATATTCTTGGGTATGTGATGGTCAACGAGATTGTATAAATGGTACTGATGAACCAGCTGATTGTCGTTCATCAAATCGAACATGTCCAAGTGGTCTTTGGAAATGTGACAATGGTCGATGTATTAGTCCAGAACAACGTTGCAATGGTATTGATGATTGCCGGTAAATAAAACCCACTTACTCAAATTATACTTGAAAAGAATTCTTTATTGTATTTTCTATAGAGATGGAAGTGATGAAGATGAACGACATAATTGTGGTTTGTATCATATTGAATGAATCTTATGAAAATATGATTGATTATATTTTCTTCATAGCTGAAATGCCTTGCAGTGCAACACAATTTCGTTGTCCATCAGGTTTGAAATATAATGCACGTTTAAGATGTCTTGATCGATCAGCTGTTTGTAATGGAATTGCAAATTGTTTGCGTGGAGAAGATGAAGCTAATTGTACAAGACGTAATTGTTCATCATATCAGTATGTATATATGTTAAATAGATCAATATATATACTTAGCCATGTTTTATCTGTTTAGATTTCAATGTGATAATGGTCTTTGTGTACCACGTTCGTATGTTTGTGGTAAGTAATATTCAATTAAAATGATTCTATTGTGTAATTTGTTTTTTTATTTTTAGATCATGACAATGATTGCGGTTTGTTTATTTTATTTTATGTTTTCTTTAAAATTAATTTTTAATGATTTTTAAGGAGATGGATCCGATGAGCCTGCTTCATGTGGTAAGAATTTGTTTTGGTTTATTTCGTTTTAAATTTTATTTTTTAATAGCATCACAATATCGAAATTGTACTAATACAGAATATCGATGTGAAAATGGACGATGTGTAACAAAAGCAGCAACATGTAATGGATAGTACGTAATATGTTTATTTTTTATTGTGAAAATAATTACTTATATATTATTATTTTTTTTCTTTAGTAATGATTGCCATGATAATTCAGATGAAAAACCATCATTATGTCAAGTAGAACAATGTCCATCGGGACAATTTCAATGTCGAAATAAAGAATGTATACCATATGAAGTTGTTTGTAATGGTGTACGAAATTGTACTGATGGAAGTGATGAACCACCTAGTTGTGGTAAGAACTTTAAAAAAAAACTCCTGTTCATTTCTTTTGGTTTGATAATATCGATTATGTTTATTCGTTTTAAACATAGGTGTTAATGAATGTGCTTCATCAATTTTAAGTGGTTGTGAACATGGTTGTGTTAATACATTAACTTCTTTTCGATGTACATGTCGACCAGGTTATAAATTAGCAACAAATCAGAAAAATTGTTGGGGTAAGACATTTATATATCAAACATTGACCGAACTTTAAAAAAAAAATTTTAACATTTTATTACGAGAAAAGTTTTTGTTTTGTTTTTGGAACAAAGATATTTGGCCCATAAGAACGCCTTGACAAAACTAAAGAAAATCTGAAAGGATTCGTTCTCAATAAGCTTTTACAGCCGAGTTAGGATCGTTTTAGTAAATTCTCAAACCAACTTTTGCATACATAGTGAAAAATATAAAAGCAGTGTTGACCGAAAACTTTGCCCATAGTTAGGTCTAATGATCCGTAGGATATTCGAAAAGTTGCAGGCTAAATAAATTTTTTACTTTGTTGAGATTTTCATTTTTCAAGTTAACTTGATATTTATACGATGCCTGTGACAAACAATTTTTTCAAAATTTGTTTCGACTGAAACTTTCAGTATATTCTACGAATCATTCGATCTATATATATATAGGTAAAACTTTATGTCGACATTTTGTTATTTTTGACTTTTTGGTATGTATGTAATGTTTATGGAAATAAAACCTTTTAGAATTTTCCTAACCTGAACGCGAGCTCGTTGTGGGTCCCCATATGAGCTCAACCAGTGGATATCAGTTTGGGTGGTTATCTCATGTGGATGTGGGTATAGATTACGAAGAATGAGCGAGAATTAAATCAATCAGTAGATGTTGGTAATTCGAACCCTAGCGGAGTTCGTCTGTCATATTGAAATCAATATGTCTTAATTGAGAAGTAACGAAAGTCGACATGCACATGTTTATTTCTATTGATATTTGGTGTCTTTTAATGATTACATTAAAATTTCACGGAGCAGGAACTTTTACGTCAAACGAGATAATACGCCTAACAGGATATTGAGAGGATGAACACCGATCCATCCGTCACCATTACATTAACCTTAGATATTAGTATTTTTGTTCGTATAGGTAATAATATGCTTATAACAGTACATTACTTTGATTCATATAGGTTTGGAAATAATACGATTGTAGTTTATTAATTTTCATTTGTTCTCTTTCATATCTTATCGAAATCGTGGAAGTAGTTCTCTAGATATATCCTATTTGTATAGCATTCGCCAATATTTCTCCCTAAAAAACAATAGGTTTATACTTTTCATAGATATTATCTTTCAATAAAAATAATTTTTTAATATTGAAACTTCTGATATTTAATTGATATTTAGATATCAATGAATGTGTCGAAACTCCAAGTGTTTGTCAACAATTTTGCGAAAATATACCAGGTATAACATATTTCATATTATATATTCTTGTAAACTCTTTGTTACATCACTAGGTTCTTATATATGTAAATGTGCATCTGGTTATGAAAAAGGTCTTGATGGACGTAGTTGTAATCGATTAAATCGTATGTTCTTGGTTTCTTTACTAAAAAAACCAAAATTGATTTCTATTGTATTTAGGAACCATTGTTCCATATGTATATTATACGAATAAATATTATGTTCGTGCTATTGGTCTTGATGAACAAAATGAATTAACTGTTGCACGTGGTTTTATGGAGTTATCAAGCATAACATATGATTGGAAAGATCAAAAGTTATATATTGGTGATCGAATAGCGGGTAAAATTTATCGAATGAATTTCAATGGAACACAATCAACAGTTATAATAGAAGGCAATCAAATACGTTTTCTACGTGCATTAGCTATTGATTGGATTGGACGAAAATTATATCAATTATTGGGTACATCTGAAATTCGTGTTAGTGAATTAGATGGTCGTTATGGTATAACATTACTTGATTCAAGATATTTATCACAACCAAATTATCTTGCTATTGATCCATTAGCTGGTTATTTATTTTATTCAGATTGGGGACAAGCACATATTGGAAGAATTAATTTAGATGGAAATAATTTTGTTAAAATTATTGGTACTGATGTATCTGGACCATTAGGTTTAACAATTGATATTATTACTCAAAGAATTTTTTGGATTGATAGACGTTTACAAAGATTAGAGTATGTTGATATCTTTAAAAAACAAACATTTTCTTATTTTCCATAGCATTGAGATTAAATTTAATTTTTATATAGTCGAAAAGTAAACAATCTAATAAATGATAAGTTAAATCTCCTTATAAGTTTCCCATGTTGCCTATTCGAAAAAATCATCGATAGAATTTTATACTGAACGAGGGAAGTACTCCAACTGATTAATGGCTATTAAGTTTGAAACTATCTGCATTATATAGATGGAAACGAGTATCGAATAGCCGGATAAGAGTTCGGACCATAAACGCTTATTGTCGAGTGGATATTGGAAATTTACGGTATTTTAAATGTTCCCCTCATAAGCATCAGGAGAATTGATTTTTGACTTGAAACTTTATACAAAGACAAAACTTTTGAGTTGCTTCTATCCTGCAATGAGGATACTGAATCTACTGTTATATATATATATGTGTGTGTTAATTAAAAGACACGTCGTAATATCATGATATCATGTAGACATGGGTCTTATCTTCAGTGACACCTACATTCATCCACATTCTGTAAAATTTTGGAATACTTTGACATTTTAGAAACTGCAGGAAGCTTTTAATGCGGCCAGAGATTTACATATAATTTTCGTAAAGAAGTTCTAACAAACTAAAACTAAGTTTCGTGTGTATGATTGTGATCAAAAATTCCAAAATCACTTTTTCTGAGGGAAACATTTAAAAACTACTGTAAGAGTACATTATCTCGGCAGCAATAAGCTAAGCTTACGAACTCTTTATTGCAAATTCAAAACTCATTTGAATTTACATAAGGCACATAGTCTCGACTTTAAAACGATATATCAGCTTGGAAAACTTCTTTCTTGAGTTCGATTTTTGGTTATGGTAATGTTATTTATAAGTACAATTTTTTGTTTGTTAAACTAGATGAGTATTTGTTTCTACTAAAATACAAATAAGTTTTAAATATGATAATTTTCTAATTATTCTAAGAGAAAGAAACACATGCTTTTTATTCTGTTTTAATATTAATTAAATAATTCGATCGTTTATTCTATATAGATTCAGTAATTATAATGGTGGTCAACGTAAAATAGCATTTTCTGGACATGATTATGTTCCATATTCACTCAGTGTTGCATTTATTGATGGTTATGTTATATGGTCTGATTTTACTAATCATTCATTATTTCGTGCTGATGCATTAAACGGTTCAAATAAAAATATACTTTTACCAAATACAATCAATGAAGTTATAGCTCTTACTGTTATTCATCCATCATTACAACCACAAGGTACGCAAAAAAGATCCGATTAATAAGAAATATTGAATTTTGTTTTCTTTCTTCTAATTTAAAGTTCCAAATCCATGTGGAATAAATAATGGTGGTTGTTCGCATTTATGTTTATTAACAGTAAATCAATCATATACATGCGCATGTCCTGAACATTTTTCATTTATGAATAATGGAAATAATCGAACATGTGTATCAAATTGTAGTTGTAATCAACATCGTTGTGGTCCACCAAATGAACGATGTATACCATGGTCAGCAAAATGTAATGGAGGTAAGTATCGATCTCTTTTTTTTCTTTTATTTGTAAACTTAGAACAATCCTTTGTTTATTTAGTTAATGATTGTGAAGATGGATCCGATGAACCAAGTACATGTCCAGAACGACGATGTGCATCAACACAATTTCAATGTCGAAATCAAAATTGTACACCAATATCATATGTTTGTGATGGTAGGAGAAAATTTTTGGTTTTTTTTCTTTGTTATAAGATTTTTTTTTCTAATAGGAATGGATGATTGTGGTGATAATTCAGGTAGATATTGATTTTGAAGAAATAAAAGCGCAAGATCTAATTAAATATTTCAGATGAAGAAAATTGTCAATGCCGTTGTATGCCAGGAACATTTCGTTGTAATTCCGGTCCATGTTTACCAATGGTTAGTATAGTTTTTTAAACAAAAGAATAAATTAATAAATTATTATTTCTAGAGATTTCGTTGTGATGGTTATCGACAATGTTCTGATGGTAGTGATGAATTAAATTGTGTTAATCGTACATGTACTCATTATCAATTTACATGTAATAATGGACGATGTATACCAGCATCATATGAATGTGATTTAGATAATGATTGTGGTGATAATAGTGATGAAAATGCATATTTTTGTCGTAAGTTTTCTTTATTTTAAATATTTAGGAAAAAAGAAAAATGAAATTTTTCTTTCAAGGTAATCGACCTTGCCGTGAGGATCAAATTCGTTGTCCAAATTCATATAAATGTATATCACAAATAGCACGTTGTAATGGTTATAATGATTGTGGTGATAATAGTGATGAAAATCCAAATCAATGTCCGCCATGTAATGATGCAAATCATTTCCGATGTAATAATGGACAATGTATTCCAAGAAGTTCGCGATGGTAAATATCAACATTAACAGAATATTTGTTTTTTAAATTATTTATAAGGAAGCAATTTAGTTATTGGATATGTTATTTAAATGTTTTTTTTCTGTTCTTAGAACTTCTTGTTTCTTTGTTGAAAGGAGAAGTTAACAGACTTAAGCCAGCCCTTTGACGTTTGAGTAGAACAAAAATGAAAGAAAGAGTCTTTGAACGTATCAAAATTGGGCAATAGATTCACATTTGTCTGTTTTTATTATTAATATTCTTAGACCTATGACCGTGTTGATTCTAAAGGAATAATTTTACATAATCCTTCGAAAAATTTCGTTTAATAAGTAATTATTAATATTTTATATTTATTCTTTATTAAGTAATCATCGAAATGATTGTCGTGATGGATCAGATGAAACTCCAGCAACATGTAGTAAGTAACAGAAAAAAAAATAAAAAAAAAATTTTTTTAATTTGTTTTTATTCGATTGATTTTTTCAGTCTATCGTGCATGTAGTGAAGATGAATTTCGATGTGCCAACGGTCGATGTATTCCACAACGATGGTTTGAAAATAATATTCAATAGAATTCAAAAATTTATATACATATTTTTGTTTTCCGTAATTTTAGGGTATGTGATCATGATTATGATTGTGGTGTAGGTGATACATCGGATGAAGCTGTTGACTGTGGTAAATGATTTTTATGCTTTATATAAATCTGTTGGCTTAAGAAAAAAGATATTATTTTAGCTGCTCGACCATGTCCGAATGGATACTTTAAATGTGCATCTGGTCATTGTATAAGTAATACAAGTCGTTGTGACGGTTATGCTCAATGTCGGGATGGTTCTGATGAAGCAGGCTGTCCACCACGTGGCCCTAATGGTCAATATTGTCCAACAGATCGTTTTACTTGTAATAATACTCTTTGTATTAATAAGAACTGGGTTTGTGATGGAGGTAGGATGTTTTATCAGTGATGTTTTTCTTATTGAATTATAATAAAATATTTTCATTTTAGATAATGATTGTCTTGATAATAGGTAATCAATGAAAAACACAAAGAATATCAACGTATTTTATAATTTCTTATTTTTATTTAGTGATGAAACAATTGAATTATGTCGAACAGTACCTTGTAACTCAACCTATCATTTTCGGTATTAGATTTTGTTTCTTTTTATTTGTGTGGATCAAAAACATTTTTTTTGAAATACGATCTTAAAAGAGAGTCGAGGTTTAGAAGTAAAAATTTGGACCCACCCTCCTGACTATATATCAATAACGTCTCACTATAGATCCCCTGATTGATTTGTCCCAACTTAATTTTGCCAGATTCGGTCCATTCCTAATTAAACTCTTATTTGCCAACTAGGATGTAAGTCTCGATTTGAGTGAAAAACAGATCTACTACCATTCCCGTATTCTCTATCCGACGTACAGCTTGGTTACACACTTAATACTGTATTGAAAACTTAAGTAGTTCGGCAGCTTGTATTTTCGTTCAATATTCATAAAATGAAGTGTGACAAACGAATAATGGCACGAATAGTTAAAATAAAGATTAGAACGATGTTTTCATTATGAAATATCTCGTAACTTTGAATTGAATATATCTATCTTACAAGATACGAATGCTAGATACTCTTGATTTCAATTCTTATCTTCATTGATCTTGCTTGAAAGGTTGATTAGAGTCGAATTTGGAGCCGATTACAAAATCCATATATGCTCAATTCAAAAAATAATTAAAATGAGACAATCTATCTTTAAATTATCAACTAGGAACGAGTTCAAGGTATATCTTCATGATAATGTAGGAACTACTTTCTTATTACTTTTGTGAAGTATTAAGATTAATCAAGAAAAGTACCTCACAATAGACAGGGTAAAACAACTTCCTGTGATTACTTACAGCAGTTACATCATGTTTTCCATGTTAATCTTACAGACTAGCACTAAGAAATTTTTATTTAAAGATGTACAAATGGTCGATGTATCTATCGATGGCGTGTATGTGATCATAGAGATAATTGTGGAGATGGTAGTGATGAAGATATTCATGGTGTATGTCAACCAAATCGACCAGTAACATGTCCAGAATTTCATTGCACTCATACAAATCGTTGTATACGATATTCAGATTTATGTGATGAAAGTAAATGAAAATAAACAAACAAAGATGTCTTATTCATTTATTTTAATTTTAATTATCTAGTTGATGATTGTGGTGATGAATCCGATGAATTATCATGTCATCATAATACAACAATAACATGTGCTACTCAACCAAATCACTGTGATCAACGATGTCATGATTTACCAAATGAACGAGGAATTGTTTGTTCATGTAACGCAGGTCATAAATATAATAAAGAAACATTAAAATGTGAAGATATAAATGAATGTGAAAATGTTACTTTAAATTATTGTTCACAAATCTGTGTTAATACTAAAGGTGGTTTTCGATGTGAATGTGCAGCTGGTTTTCAACCAAGTGCAGTTAATAGATCAGATTGTCATCCAACAGGTACTCATTGTTGACTTCCTATCAATCATGTCTTAGCATTAATATAATTATAAGATATTGACTGACGTAAATTTTATAAGGAAATATTATTTTTACCGTCTATCTTGCTTCTTTTTTTTTCATATATTTCTAATTCTACTAGAAAAAAAACTTTCATGACCTATATAAAATTATTCAATTTTATTTTATATTTTCTCAACATAAATTAATGAACAAGATCGTGCGATTATTCTTTTCCAACGAATTGACTAATTGTAACTCGCCGTTTGAGTTAATATCTAACTCACAAGGAAGTCTCAGTAAGACTAGATAATTCGTAAATAAGTTCGTGAACATGAGCTTTTGGAGACAAGTTGTGAGTCATAATTCGGTTCGCAAGGTTCTTGATCACAAACTGTTTAACAATATTTCTAGTCTTACTAAGACTTCCTAAAAGATCCAATATGAGTTCAAAACGATGAATTACAGTTCGAATATTTCTCTTATGAGTGAATATCAATTATTTTACTCATAATGATCTGAACATGAACTAGGATTATTGAAAATCTCATCTTAGACGAAGTAATGTATGTGCCAGAATTAATGAGGATGGATGTAGCTCCAATAACTCGACAAAGATAATAGGTAGAGACCAGTAGTTTTCAGCAATCGAAAGAGAAGAACTCCAGACAACTTTTTGTTCAACGCTTTTATTAAGCTAAATTCTTTTAAAACCCATTATTTTTGTAAAACATTCAAAAAAAAACGATTCATCTAATGATCTTCTCATATCCTGATGTTCAGAAACCAAAATCGAATATTTATTTGATCAAATTATATTGAATTCGATTGATTTTTTGGCAAAGTTTCTTTTTCATGCTTTTTTTTGACAATTTGGTCTTACATAATATCAGACAATAATACGTTCTTTCGATTGCTAACAATTGGAGGTTGTTAGTTGTTGCGGGTCACATCCTTTCATATTTTTTTGAAAATCATTGAATTCCTAATGATTACATACTTTCATAAGTATATATTATATTTTTGAAATTTTAATTTGAAGACAAATATTTTTATATATCATTTTTTATACAGATCAAACAATTGATCTTCTTATATCTGAACCTGATGAAATTCGTCGTCTTCGTCGAAATACTATAGAAAATGCATCACATTATGGTGTACTTATTGAAGATCAACATGATGCTAGTTTTATTTCTATTGATACAAATAATCGTGTATTCTATTGGATGGATGAATCTACATCAGAAATTTATCGTGCACATCTTACACCAAATACAGTGTCAACAGTATATCCTCAAGAAATTCTAACCGAGGATACACATCATTTAATAATTCCAAGTAGTATTGCTATTGATTGGATTGGTCAAAATGTTTACGTAACTGATCTTATTCATGGTTGTATATGGGTTTTAAAAAATGATGGACGTTACGCAACTAAATTAATAACAAATATTGAATCACCATGGGTTGTTACTGTTAATCCAATACTTGGAATACTTTATTTTATTAATTATGAACATGGAGCTGTTGAGAATCCTAATGAACGCATTGTTGCTATTGAATCAGCTTATATGAATGGTGAAAATCGTACAATATTAGTTGATACAGATATCGTATATCCAACAGATTTAGTTATTGATTTCTATCAAAATTATCGTGTTTATTGGGCAGATGAAAAAAAAGAATCAATTGAATCCATGAACTATGATGGAACAGATCGTGTTGTTATAGCACATATTGGAATACATGCACCACATTCATTAGATATATTTGCAAGTCATTTATATTGGATTAATCGTGAAAATCGTTCGTTATATACAATTGAAAAATTTGGACGTGGAATATCAACACTTGTTATTGATAAATTAGAATTACCTTTATTCGTAAGAATTTATCATCCATTAAAACAAAGTCAATCAGGTTTAAACTAACAAAACATTAGAATAAGAAAAAAGAAAAGAAACTAATTTTGTTTGTCTTTTTTGTTTAGTATCAAATCCATGTACAGTAGCTAATTGTTCACATTTATGTGTTTTAAAACCATTAAATCAATATGAATGTTTATGCCCATTGAATACAACAATTCAAGAAGATAGTCGAACATGTAATGCACGTACGTATATGAAAATTTAATAAAAAAAATTAAATAGTATGAATACTTTTTTTTTCTTTACAGCACTTGTTACTCCACGTAGCTTGTTAGAATGCCGTTGTGTACACGGTAAATGTGTTTATCATGTTGATGAAACTGCTGGTCATCAATTAACTGGTTGTCTTTGTTTTGGAGGTAAATTGAATAAATATGAAAAATATCTTAATAAAAATTTGTTTTTAAGGTTATACAGGTGACTATTGTGATAAACCTCGGAAATGGCCATTCCATTCAAATACACTAAAAATTATTATCATTACATTAGTTAGTTTATTATTAGTTGGTATTCTTACCTTTGGTTTAATTCAATTGAAACGTAAAGGAAAGTGAGTTGAACAGATAAGTTTTCGATGTCGAACGAACAGACCAATTCAAAATGTCCCCATCCGATTTTAATGATTGTTTCGCCAATAAACACTACATAATGTTCTATTGAACACCTTAAAAGGAGTTGGATTTTGACTAACGAGGGAAGGTCTCAAAATGATTAAAAGTTTTCGAGTCCATATTTTGCCTAATGGTAAGATATGTATATAGATTAGAACAGGCTCCAAAGGAGTTGTGCTGACATTAAGATTTGACCGATATATTGACTTTTTAGTAAATTTTTTTTATTTGGATCCACTTTTTAGATAAGACCCCATTGTTGGATTTCAGTCAGAAAACTTTGCTTAGATGAAAGTTCCAGTGACACTAGCTTATGGATGAAATTTCAGAAGTTTGTAATCGAGTATCGTGAAGATATGCATGTTTTACACAATATCAATTAAAAACTGCTTGAGTTCTGAAATTTTATGCGTAAGATAGTCTCACTGAGCCCTTCATCTATGTAAAGCTTTTAAACTTGACTTCGACAAGAGGATTTTATCGAAAAATTGGATCCCTACAGGAAATATACACTAAAAAGCCAATATCTCATCCAAATCTTAACATCAGTATGAACCCTTTGGAGCCGGTTCTAATTTATAGGTTTCCTAACATTGAACAAAATAAAGGTTCAGCTACTTTTAATCATTTGAAGAAGTTCTCTCGTAAGCTATCGAATTTTATATATATAGAGAACTCAACTGGACTAGCTTCTTTAAAAATATTCAGAAGTTTTCAAGAAAGTTTCTTCGAGATATGATACTTGTAAAAAAATGCATGTTATATAGACTATCTCTCAATAAGAATCTACATCTTAAAAGTTGCATATCTCAAAGACACTTTATTCAAAACATTGGAATTTTTTCATGAAAGCCTAGTTTAGTTCTGTTCTATAAATACGTAAAGTTTGAGAGCCAAATTCAATAGCTTACGAGAGAATTCCTTCAAATGACAAATCGCTTTTCTACTGAGGCAATGCTCATTTGATGAGTACTAGTAAGTAATAAAAGTCTTAAACAATTTAGTTTTCCAGGCCTTCACTCTGTAAATATCGAAATTTTACTAAGTTTTTCAACAAAAAACTATTGTTTTTTTCAGATCATATCAGAGTTTCGACTTCAAACTTTACACAACCAAAGTTCTTACTGAAATCAATTCACAGGACCAGTTGTAACTTTTCTAGTATTTCATATCCAGAGAGATGAAATATTCGAAATTCTTTCATGTGTAAAAAATACATTTTGTTCACATATTTATATCTTCAGACAGGAAATACTAGTTGCACAATCAATTGATTTCAATAAGGACTTTGTTCATGTAAATTTTAAAGTCGAAACTTTAATGTGACCTGATGAAGATCACAACTGTTTTTGTTGAAAAACTCAGTAAAATTTCAATATTTGGAGAACAAAGATCTAATAAATCAAATCATTCTAGACTTCTCAATTACTCACTAGTATTTATCAAACAGATATCATCTTGGTCGAAAAGCGATTTGACATTTGGATCGGTTTCCCTTGTTAATCGAAATGCATGTATTTTTTATTAGATTACAATCGATTCCAACTCCACCATTACCATCACGTGTTCAAACAATAATGAACAATATACGTAATTTTATTACACGTTCAACAGATAATATAAATACAGTTCGATTTCGAAATGCTCAATCTACTACAGTAAGAGATTAGTCAACACTTGTAAAAAAAATATTCATGAAATTTTTTGCTTGTTTAAGGAATCAACAGCAGTATTTCCAAACCCAATGTATGCTGCAACAACAACAGCATCTAATCAACCAGCTCAATTGACGACATCATCTAGTGAACCGGCTAAATTAAATGTTGAAGTTCAGCCACCTCCATCAAAGCCAAGTCGCAAAGGTTTCTATTTTTGATCTTATATTTTTTAGTTTTTTTTATTTATTTTTTCTATGTAGGTGCTCCTACATCTCCTCTTCGTCAACAAGTACATTTTGATCCTCAAAGCAAAGAAACTGATCATGATAAAGCTAATTTAGTTGTACGAAGTAGTAGCAGCGATGCATAATAATCATTTTTTGCTTTTTCTATCATGTATATAAATATATCTAATTTGTTATATCATAATACAGCTTAAATTTTCATTTTTATCTTTCAAATGATTTTTGTTTTATTAACCATGTAATGATAAAAAAAGCAAAAACAAAAAAAATTCAAGATTTACAATGAAATAAATTCTAGGAAAAAAAAGTATGAAAATCAATCTCTCTATATATAAAATACAGTGCATTAAATAATGTCAAGAAGTTCAAAAATCGAATTTTAAGCAGAATTTAAATGTTTTAAACGAAAAAAGTTGACTTTAATCAAATCAGTCACGAATTTTTTTCAATACAATAATTATTATTTGTAATTACTAAGAAGTCTTTTGTTTAGAGGTGTGCAGGATAGAATAGGAAAATTCTGCACATCTCTACTTCGAAGATTTTAGATCGAAATAATGTTCATTCAATAGAATTTTTTCGACAGTTAAAATGAGAAACTACATTCTCATTTAAACAAAAACATTATTTGAAAAATGTTGACATGCATTGATAGAAAAAGATTACCAATACAATTATATTAATATTATTGTAATTGATTCTGTTATACTCTTGCTCTGTATTTGATATGTGTAATTCTAATGCAAACATATAAAATATTTTCGTAAACAATAGAGCATAGTACAGTTTGAAGAAAAAAAAATCAATGAGTGATTTCTATCATACGAAGTTTTTTTTATTTCTGTTTATCACTAAGATGCTCGTAAGATTTTATTATTTTAATGTACTAGTTAAATGAAGTTGTACTCCTCGACTGATTCCGTAGTGATCCAATTTCAATAGCTCCAGTGTTTGTGTCGTACAACACAAAAGTGTATGAGATGAATAAATAATAGAATAGTCTTACTGCATTATTTTCTACAGAATTAATGATGTATTGTAAACATTCGTTCTCGACTTTATTCGATTGAAGATACCACAGTTTGTGTGTCTAATTGAAAGATTATATATTACAGAGACAGGAAATACATGGAAATTTTAAAAATGTAAAATAGATTACTAAAGAACTTCCTTCACTTCATCCTTTTATAGTACATAAACTAAATGTTACGCTCCTTAGCTTGCTGATTTGTTAAATACAAGATTCAACTTAATTTACGTCTACATTGAATGATAAATAGTAATATGAAATTGATCTATAGAATATGAATCTGACTGAATTATTTATGAATACATTAGTAAAGTATTTTATGCTTTCATCTTCGACTTGATTATCAGCATCTGTTCTATTTTACAAATAAGCATAGAATAGATGAATATAAAGATATTGTCTTACGGTATTATTTTGTAAAACTTCAGGTAAAAATTGAGCTCCTTGTGAACTAATTTTATTATAGACAAAGTCATAAGTTTCTCTTTTTAATAATAAGAATGAATAGATAATGGATGAGCAGAAAAGCTATCTTATTCAAATTTATGTTTATTTTAAATAGTATTAAACTAATAAATAGTATATTGAATATCTCATTTTGTTGATCTTTCATGAGTTCTTTTACTTTTTCGATTTATAACTCGAAAACATTTTTGTGTGTCGCAACGATTTAAAAACAGAAGTCATACGATTTTCATTCAAACATTGTTACAAATTTCCATGTTCCTATATGTTCAAATTTTTCGAAACTTCAATATGAAGTATTGTTAACTCTCAGCTCGCTCCACAAAATGACGACTTTTGAGGTGGGAACTGTTTTTTTGTGAAATAATGCAAACGAGTTTCAACAACAACAATGAATCAATCGAATGTTGCTATGAAGACCCGCACTAACACCCTCAATTCAGAAGATTCATAAACTCATAATAGAAAAAATCAGTTTGGATTTCGGAATGAATATACCACATGAACTATTTTTGAAACTGGATATAAATTACAACAATATAATCCAATAACAATGGGAAAATATCATAGGCGCTATGTCTCGTTGTTTACAACAAATTAATGATGATAGTTACATTTAGTTTTTCATTAAGAATAGCTTGAGAACATGGATGCAATAGAAAATACTTTTCTATTCCTATATTAGCATTGATTGATGTTTCGTCTAAAAAAAACACTCTTTACAACGGTAGCAATCATCTAACTATGCTTTCATCGACTTCATGTGATATTGAACTCTCGATTGAGCAGAAAGAAAACCTACTAGAATAAGAATTCAAGATGCATGTTCAAACAAGAATGCACACTATTCAGCTTCTGTGTGCGAATCTATTTATAATAACATAAGAAGGAGAGAAAAAACTTTCAGACGTCGTATAAAGTCATGTTGCCATGAATCACTTCTATCACTCGTTCGTTGTCTTGTGACACTATAAGATGGTAGTTCTGCTTACTTCCTTTTCTACATAATGATATCGTTATCAATTAAAGTTTAGGATGTGAATGGATGTGTCTGTGGGGTGTGTGTGAGTAAAAGAAAGAATCACATCCATATTGCACACCCACAAATACTTGGTCAAACGCGAGAATCAAATCTAACGATCGAATCGATAGCATCAATTTTCTGATCTGTAATACGATATTCCATTCTCTGACAGAAAGCTGTTCAAAAATGCAAGCTTAAGTTAGCCGCCACGCTCGTCGCTTATAGCTAAGACAACTATGAATCTTTAATGGAATTCGCTTATTAATGATTTTTCACTGATCATTTCTCAGTTTCTTTCTCACTCAGATTATCTGATTGATCGAAACGTAACTTTTTCGCTTTATAGCAACAAAGAAAGAAGCCCTGGTTCCAGTATAGTATGGTTATCTTCCGTGAAACATCGGATTATAGTCAATCCTCCAAACGACTATTCGTTTCTTATAAAATATTGATTTCTCCATCAATTAACATTGAAAGTTTCGCACCACATTTTGCAACCAAATGAAACTTCAATACCATCTAGGCATTTGTATTATAAGCGTCTACGGACGTAATAAACATTATGTTTACTCAAAAAAAAATCTAGGCACTTATGAGTGTTTTATTCAAAAAGAATTGAGTTTTCCGACTATTTTCCTATTCAAGCAATAAAATACATTCATCGGCATCGGCTTACAAAACTATTTCATAAATATTATTTCTATTCATAGATTCTTTTCTAAAAAAAATGAATTGAACAAACCTTGAACGATATTAAAGAGAGAATTGTTCGATTTAATCATTCAAAGCAGTAGATGAAAACCTTGAGAAATCTCAATTCTTCGTGTTATCTATCCTGTTTAAAGAATCCAATGCATATCTGCACACTTGTTTAGAGTAGGCGTTCATATTAGGATTCTTTTTTTTCTACAACCAGTCATTCTTCGATTAACACTAAATTCAAATTAGTTTCAACGTATTGGCTTCATATATCACTCAATTTTTTTCTTACACTTCGAATGACATTTAATTAAGAGATATTGTCATTAGGTTTCATGTATTTATTTATCTCGAAAAAGATTCTCAAAAATTACAAGAACATATCAATTTTTGAGAAATTTCAAGTATAACAACGAAGTTTTTAACATGAAAAACAAAACCCATTCATTCAGACAATCGATATACATTTTCTTCAATTTGTTGAACAAATGGTGCACGTTGAATTTTCTTTTCCAATTTTTTAAAGAGAGAATCATCTTCTTTATCTTGATCTGGTTTCAATTTTTTATAACGTTTGAAAATCTAAAATAGAAATTCTATTAATCAAACCGTTCCCGATATTTGTTTGTATAACTACCTTTTTCTTTAAAGCATCTAAAGTAAGTGTTTGATCATTTGCTTTGCTTAATGCTAGTTTAATTTCATCATACCATTCAAAACGAGGATTTGATGGTACTGCTTGATTATTATCATCTTGAACAATTTCATTTTCAGGATTGGACTTTTGCTTTTTTAAAGGTTCTTCATTATCTTCATTAATTTTTCGTTTCGATTGTTTTTCATCAACATATTCATTCTTAATAAGATCTTCGGATATATTTTGATCTTGATTTTCAGTATTAGTATTTTTCGTTTGATTGATTTCATTATTTGAAGGCTATGAATAAGGAGAACATCAGATTGTTTTTTATTTTACACTACTATTCAAAAGTAACGATATTAGATAATAATAACCGAAAACTCGAGTAGTAGAACTAAAAATTTTATCACAAATAGAGATCAGTAAGTACCGGTTCTAGATACCAATCCGCACTCAGCGAATGTCAAATAACTAAATTGTGACTCAAACACTACTTTGACTTCAAGATACACGGATCGAATCTCTATCATCCGAACATCTAGCCTTTTTATTGTAAAGATTTTTTTATGAAATTACTTTTTCCTTGTCAAGTTCTATGTTTGTATTTGAAAATCGAAGTAACTTGATAACCACACTGCAAGACTCATTACACGTAGTATTTCATTTATCAATCAAAATTTAACTTTCAATTGATGAAACCAGAAAGAGCCAGCGAAAACTTTTTCTCTACATCATTTTTTCGTTTTTTGTGTGACCCAAATATTTGTTTTGGATTAAAACCTTTATCCGTAATGAGTTTTTCACGATTGGTATCAAGTTTCTTCGATAACATCTGTTCAGCAGTAGATGTTAATCTTTACTTTGTTGGAAAACTTCTTGGGCTACTGAAAATTCTTTAAAAATTTTCAGAAAAAAAACGGATGAAATCTATGAGCTGTAACTAATTTATCTAAAGGTATTAATATCTCTGTAATAAATGATTCTCAAATACAACTATAGAATTTCAGAAGACAAAGATGATTTCGTATAAGATCTTTACGATAGAAGACTGGATGTTCAACTACCGAATGAGAATCCTCACATAAATGAAGATGTTCGAATGGTAGAGATCTCGATGTTCTAAGGTCAAATTAATGTTTGATCCAGCACTCAGTTATTTGCCATTCTATTGAATGTAAATTGGCGTCTAGGATCAACGTCTACCGAGCTCTATTTTTAGTAAAAAATTTCAGTTCAAACGCTAGGAGTTGTACTAACTTTCACTTAG